CCCGCACGTCGCGGGCGTCGCGGCGCAGATCCGGGCAATGCGCCCGGACCTGGCTCCCGACCAGGTCACTGCTGCGCTGCTCTGCTTTGCCACGCCCGATGCCATTAGCGGCCTCCCATCCGACACAGCCAACAAGCTGCTCTTCAACGACCTCGACGACGCTACCTTGTCGTGCCTCGAGGCGTCGAGCCCCTCTCGCTCTCCACCGACATCGCCCTCGCCACCGCCACTGCTACCGTCCACCCTCCCCCCGCCACTGTCTCCCTCTCCATCGCCGCCACCGCTGGCGGTCTCGTCACCGCCCCCTCCCTCCCCGTCACCACCCCCACCTCCCGTTCCATCGCCGCCACCTCCCTCGCCCTCGCCGCCGCCGCCTCCCTCTCCATCGCCGCCGCTGCCTTCTCCTTCGCCTCTGCCTCCGGTATCGTCGTCTGACTGCGTCTGCAACGAGTACGCCATCTCAAGCCACCCGAACCGCTGGTACAACGGCTGGTGGAGGAAGACAGGCAGCGCGTGTGGCGACAAGCCGGTTTACAAGAAGGGCAGGCGCTACCTACTGTTCGACGACCACCAACGGCGCTGGGAGTTCAGTAGTGGCCCGTGCAACACCGGAAAGGACTGGTACCCCGGGCAGGGCGGCGCAAGCTGCCCGAGCGGCAACACTGCTGGGTGGGCGGCCGCATGCACCAACGGGAGGGATGATCCAAGCCGCTAGTCCTTCGTATCACAAGAGCTGCAAGAGTTACTCGACTCGTGTTGTAGCTCACACAATGCAGTCTACGCTCTTCCACCCCACCGGGATTTATTCGGCGCACACAGTCCGCTTTTCCCTTTTATTAACCGTTTTGCCCCTCTTGCGCCCGGACTAGTAGTTGCTAGAGTAGTCGGTATAGCCGAGCTGTTGCTGCAGGTGAGTATCACGTATCCCTGAAGGTGAAGTGCGACTCTGTGTGTGTATGAGTGTGTGAGTCCTGTGTGTCTCGTGTATCTCTGCGCGCGAAAGTCCCGAAATGGGGATTGCAAACATAATACACAGAAAACCCGTGGATGAACACACCAAACAGACACCAAGAAACACAGTACACAGTGACTCTTTTGCCCACCACTAGCTAGTCGAAGGGCAATTCACTACTTCCACCACACCACAGCACGGACCACCCGACGCGGCGGGACTCGCGCCGGCGCGCTAGACGCCCCGCTCGCCCCGCCAATAAGCATCACCCCGCCCGCCCCAGACAGCTAGACGCCCCGATCCTCGACCACCGCGGCCGCTGTAGCCACCGCCGCGGCGGCCTCCTCCGTAGCTGTACAGGCTGTAATGGTTGTACCTGCGCATGCTCTGCGTGTATGCGCCACCGTAGAAAGCAGGACGGGCGTACCCAGCGGACTCGGCGGAATACGGATCTGGCGTCGGCAGCGGAGGATCGGGAGGCGCTCGCGGAGGCGGCGGCGGCGGAGAGGAGGGAGCCGACGAGCCCCAAAGCCCTCCGATCCAGCCAAAGGCGGCCGTCGCCGGTAGCTGAGGAGGCGGCGAAGCCGGTGGCCTCCTCTCCCAGAAGTAGCCTCCCGCATAGTAGCCTCCGCCCGCATAGTAGCCTCCGCCCGCATAGTAGCCTCCGCCCGCGTAGTGAGGGAAGTGGCCGCGGTGGTCGCTCAGCGGGGGCGGCGGCGGACCGCCCCACGTGCCGCCGTTGCCGATGCATTCCCGCTCACTCGCAGTCGGGTAACGAGCCAAGTCACGGCAGGCGCCCTGGTAGAGGCAGCCAGCGCACGGCGGCGGGGGCGGCGGGGGCGGCAGCGGGGGCGCCGCTGGCGGCTGCCGCGCGCCGGAGCAGGAGCGAAAGAGGCCCAAGCACGGTACCAGCCCCTCGAGCGAGCTGGCCGTCTCGCGGAAGCCGATGTGCCCGCTCTGCGCCGTCTCGCGCAAGCCGGGCGCAACCTCGCGAAGCCTCTTGTTGAT